CTTATATACGATACGAGATTGGTAGAGCATAGCAACTCCTAATGAGACACGATCTCTGCTCGAGAACAGAGGGTGCCCTTAACTTGGCCTCATGGTAAAATGATAGGAAGATGTTTCCTTTCGCGTTGCCGACAGACGACTTCGATCTGGGACTTACTTTGCAAGAAGGCTGTGCAGCTTGGTCGTGGGGACTTTGTGGGTTAGTTGGGTCAAGAATGCAGTGAAGACTCCGCTGTCCTTGACGGGGCTTTGCATGCAGGGGTTGAGACGGCAAACTTGCCGGAACGGTCTTCAGAGCTCGAGATGGGCTAATGTTGCAGTGAAGCTTTCGCCACCTTCACCTCCGAGGTCAGGCTTTGAGTGTAGGAGCTGAAGTGCTAAAGTGGAAAATCGTCTTGAGAGCTTTGAGGGGAGCCAAAATCGCAGTGAAGTGTAGTGGAGGGTGGGAAATGTGTTCTCAGGGAATCAGTTGACAAAGTAAGCAATCGTCTTGAGACCTTGAGGTGGGCTAATATTGCAGTGAAGCTTTAAGCTCCGAAGGCTTTGCATGCAGATGCAGGGGTTGAGGTGCTCCAATCAGCATACGCGCTCATCGCCAGCTTTCATCCAGGATGACATTTAAAGAGTCTTTCAATATACATGAGCCATGGCAGAGCTAGAAGGGTAAGAGCCCGCAAACGTGGCGTCGTCGCGAGCAGCGCTCTGTGTCTTCGAGGATTCTGCGGTCGGTCGTAGCTTCGGCGTTGAGGTGGCTCATGGTTCTCGTCTGCGGCATGCTCTGAAGCAACTGCGTATGAAAGAGAGCTCTGAGACTGTAATTTGCCATGGCGAGGATTCAATGCGTTGAAAAGCAGGTGATTAGAAACAAGACGGGCTGTCTTGACAGACACCGCGGTAGTATAATGGTATAAGTGCCCACGACCGACTTGAGGACCCAAAAGTCCGAGTGGCTGGCAGCGCTCATGGCGACAATATCTCCAACGTCGTCAGAATCGCTGGAGGCAGACGAGGCATGAAGAGGATGGCTGCATGGAATCAGCAAAGCAAATCATCGTTTCGTAGCGGGAGTCCCCCTATAAGCCTTCTCTGGTCACGTCAGCGACCTTCATCGCTTTGCTCATGCCTTCGTCGATTTGACATTGAAATATCAGTGTCAGAAACAGACGGACCGACAAGTGCTTGTTCACCTTGCCTATCAGCCGTCTTGAAGACCTTCTGTTAGATTGACTACACAGCTACTGCGTGAGGTCAGATGCCTATCGGACCTATGCCTATCGCCCAGCCTAGTCGTTATATCGTTGCCATCATCACGGGTGCTTGGATTGGAATCAAGCTCATCTACGCTATGTGGCTGCTTCGATCCCATAACCTATGCTATGAATCAGCGTGTGGCAGCATGACTTCAGTGTTTCTGATTACGATTGGTAAGTCCAAGTCGAACGGTTCGCATTATCAAACGTGGCGGGTCAAGTCGAAGACGCGGCGGAAAGAAGCCGACGGGTCGGTTCGTGATGAAATAGGATGGGATGAGATGGGATGGACAGACGAATGTGGCATGGCACACCTTACCACATTAGACGCTGATGGGCAGCCGTGCTCGCTGTGAATCACCAGCATTGCCACTTGGAGGAGGCAAGTTGGTTGTGTTTGTAGGCTAGTGTTTCGGCAATGGACGGTGTGTGTCCAAATTGTCGTAGGTGGTCAACTTGAACGTCGGCGACTATCATAGTGTCGTTTTCTGTCGGCGACCACGCATCGGCTTGCGAGGCCGCATGAAGTGAAGCGTTGCATTCGGCGGGGGATGTTAGTATCGTCGATGGATGGTAGTATTTGTTTCAAAACATGAGCGATTGGGGATGTCGCAAGATATCATTAATGCCTAGACTATACTCATCACCCTCGATTTCGATAGAATATCCCGGTGGGCACATGAACACTCGCAAATTGACATATATACATCATTATCCCCCCGTTCTCACCGAGAATTACCGAGCCCGGTGAAGAGACTTAAGCTTGTTTCGAGCACGTCAACTGTCACTTACAACGCCACGCCCACCCCAGCCGCTTCCCACGCGGGCCAACCCGCAAATTCTCCCCCACCTCCCAATCCGTAGACGCTTGCCAGACAAACTTCACCAAGGGGATGGGAATGACAGGACAAAGTTGCCTATCTAATGATTCACTGATAGGGAAACGATGTCCGACAATCACTGAATCGGTCACACACACACACTCTCTCTCTTTCTCTCCTTGAAAAGCATTCCCATAATAGGGGAGTTAGTTCCCTTGGGGTAGCATTGACTTAATCTCGCAATGCTCCACACCAGGAACCCAGCAAAGCAAAAAGTCCTATCCGTACCCATTATCCGCATCATAAACAGAGAGAAAGACGCACATGCCAACACAGAAAAAAGAAGGGGGAGAAATCTTGAGAGTGTGCCCTTTTTAGCCTAAGTGCCAGACAGGGTGACATTCGTTGGATACATTCTAGAAAAGAAGGACGGAAAAGGAACCCAACCCAAAGCAAATCAAATCTCGATAAGCCGGACCCCTTTTTTTTTCTAAATCCTGCGTGCAACTTCAAAGTTCCTCGAGGTAACTATACCATTTTGCAAATATGGCTGCGCATACCGAGAGCGCGCAGCTGGCCAGTCGGCTCGATGGACTGGTCTTGGTTATCCCGGACCTGCGCCGGATGGTCAGCCACTGGCCGTCGGGGAAGAATACTCATGCCTCCGAGGTTGAGGGGCTGATTTGCAAACTACTGGAGCAGAGGTGAGTTTGTCCGATATGAAGATGGAATGATTTCGGTATGCTGACATACTACAGCGATGCGTCACCGAAAGACAAGGCTAATGTCCTGGAAGCAAATCCGGCTCTCTTGGCGTCATGGTAAGATATCCCTAAGAACAGTTAAAGGAGAATAAAAAAAACCAGCACTTGCTGATAAGTGGTGTGTAACGTTAGCCTCTGGCCGAATGTAACAAGAGAGAGACTTGGCACCTTGACGCTCATGGTGCTCTGGCAGGGCAGACTCGATGACCATATCGAAAGCCTCGAGTACAAGAGCGCGGAAAAGGCCAAAGACTTCCGCAACAAGGCCAAGGACTACATTGCGCAGTATCTCCAGCTTTCCGAGGGGCCCAAGGAGGCGTCAACGAACCCCGTCATTGCGGGGTTCCAGCCGGTTGCCAAAGTCATTTGCCAGCAGTACGACCGAGGTCAGTTTTTCTCGTATCTGGGTGTAGCAGCGATATCTGAGGGCTGATTTCTTCGGGTGGTGGGCAGATCAGCGGAGAAGGTTAAGGGTTAGTCTATTCGAGTACATTGACTCGACCGTGCAAGAGATGCGGTACATCCAGAGCGGACACGCGCCGACGACTTTATCGTATGAGAAGCTTCGCAAGAAGACAGGGGGCGCTGGCCCTCTATGCGCCTTGGTAGAGTAAGAAAGAACATGAGGGTATCTCTCTGAGAAAGCAGGGTTTCTGCTGACGAAAGTAGGTTCGCCTCTGGATCAGAGTGGCCGGCGCACGTTGTCAACTCGCAGCCGTATAAGATGATCCTGGAGTCGGTCAGCATTATCATTGGCCTGTCAGTTTCCCCCCTCTGATATACCCCGAAATGGTGATGTCCAGAAGCTGACGGGATGCTTTTCTGGAAATAGGACGAATGACTTGCTCTCGCTGAACAAAGAGCTGGTAAGTAGATTCGTCGTGGTGGTGCTGCGTGAGCGGGAGGAACTAATCATTCGAGCAGCGGAAAGGCCGGACTCTCAACGCGGTGCCGGTGCGGTACTGGAATGGCAAAGACGGCAGTGACTTGGAGAGTGCTGTCGGAGAAGTCGTAGAAGAGATTGACAAGGCGGTTAAGCAGCTCGACGTCTGCGAGCGAAGATTGATCAACCAGAACCTGGCGGATGCGGACGCGATTCAGGAGGTGACTGCGACGCTCAAGACGATTTGCACTGGCAACTTAACTTGGAGGTTTGCGACCTTGGATCACCCTCTCTAAAACTTGCGCGTTACTGACAATGGGAACAGTCTTGAGTCAAAACGGTATAACGTAGGTCCTCCGGACGCCGACGGAAGTCTGAGGCAGGAATTGAGGGCTCCCGATGCATGAGATAGAGGGCATTCGGAGGAACGGAGACGGTAACGGACGATGATAAACGGATAAGGTAGTTATGAGAGGTAGAAGTATTAGCTGGGCGGCAACGCCGCGAGTAGAACGCCCGTAATGATGAATGATACCCCCCATTAGGCTTTGATCTCAACGGTCAATTGACGTTCCAATTGCGTAGGGTGCTTGCTGATTGTGTGGTTATCAAGCCCCCGAGTCCTAAAGCCAGCCGATTGGGAAAAGGACCCGAGGACCTTGAGAGACAGCGCCATAAAAGCAAGTATCACGGAAAAAGAAAGTAGATGTTGACGAGATGCAGACGTTATTGGTGGCGTGCATGACAAGTCAAGTTTGCGTTGCAGCGCCCCGGGGCTTGTGAACAAATACGGTGGACCAGCACGACCGCGCCAGAAGGATTTTAGCCTCTTAACATCTTGGTATTATTACACACCCAGTAGTGTTCCCTACACAGAACTTCACTAAATTTGGCTATGGATACAGTACCTTAGGTAAGTAGGTACAAAATGATTGTCTCACAGGGGGAAGAGGGCCGGACGCAGGGGGGACGTTTGCCATTGGACGTTGGTCTGATGTCATGGCAATTTGCGAGCTCAGCCAAGCAAATGTCTCAATTGGCGCGGGCAGTGGCAGTGGGCGCGGCCCCTCTCAAGCTTTCAGCTCCAGGGCAGCGTCTGGGGAAAAGACCAAAGCTCCCCCCAAGCTCTTGTCCCCAGGAAAACGGAAAGCTCCCAACACAAACACATATTATCCAGCCTCGCGCCCCCGTCATTGAGCTTAAGCATCTACCAAACTTTCCACACTCACACCGCATCAGCTTCATCCTCAAAACGCGTACCTAGCTACTCACAGACACAACAATGGCTTTCCGCTTCGCCGCAAGAAGACTCGCCCTCTCCCGCTCCGCCGTGCCGGCGCGTGCCTTCCACTCGACGCCCGCCGCCTTCGTCAAGGTTGGCGACGCCGTGCCCGAGGTCGACCTCGTCGAGAACTCGCCTGGTAATAAGGTCAACCTCGCCGAGGAGTTTGGCAAGGTCACCAATGGACTCATCATTGGCGTGCCCGCCGCCTTCTCCCCCGCGTGCTCCGCGAGCCACATCCCTTCGTACATCAACCACCCGAAGCTCAAGGAGGCCGGACCCGTCTTTGTCGTCTCCGTCAACGACCCCTTTGTGTAGGTTTCCCTCTCCGGGACCTTGACGCCTTTTGAGGATTGGAAGCCTCATTGAGGCTTCAGAGCAAGGATTTGTGGAAAGAAAGCGATTGATACTGACGACCGAGTAGCATGAAGGCCTGGGGTGACCAATTGGACCCCGCCGCCCAGACTGGAGTATGTTGCCATACCCTCTCCCCTCTTGCCTTGCGCCGAGGCAGCGTTGGCATGCTAACATTATGAAAGATTCGATTCCTGGGAGACCCGTCTGGCGAGTTCACCAGAGCGTTCGACGTCGACTTTGACAGCAAGGCTATCTTCGGCAACGACCGCAGCAAGCGCTATACCCTCGTGATCGAGAACGGAAAGGTCAAGGAGGCCCACGTTGAGCCCGATAACATTGGTACCGCAGGTAAGATTTCGAGGACCCGTAACACGCCGTATGAGAACTAGCTGACAGTGCGAACAGTTTCCCTGGCCGACAAGGTCTTGGGTTGAGAAGACATGGACTCGGAGTTGCGATGTTGCAAAGATTTACAAGAAAAAGAACCTCGAAGGCCACTTGGACTAGGTAGCTGCAGTTTGAAAGAAGATGCAATATGCATCGCGAATACCAGCTTGAATTCAAAGACAAACCCAAAAGACGTGTCTCCGAATCCGAACCCCTGACTGACAGCACCGAGAAGAAATGGTGTTTCACGTATCGGCCTAGGGGGTCCACCAAGAAATCGAATGCTTCTTTCGCCTGCTTAGAAAGCTATCATGTCGGACACGATATGAGTACCTGAGGTAATTGACAATGATGAGACTATCGCATTTGTCAAGCTTGCAACACCGAAGCTCAAGGAAACCTCGGGGCCAAAGTTGGCCGAGCCGGGGGCACTTGTGGACACCCGACATGTACCCGATGACCGGCGACATCGGAGCCACTTGGTGCCGGGCCGCTCCCGCCTGACAAATGCAGGGGCAAATAACGTGAGAATGCGACGTCGTTATCGATAAAGATGAATGACTAAGAGAAAGCGAGGGGCAGTTCCGTCAGGTTCCGCACTGCTTAACGAGCGACAAACACTGAGTCTTGACTCTAGGTGACACTCTCGAGGGTGGTGGTGGCGCTCAGGGCAGCTCTGTGAGTCGTCTACCGTCATGCCATGCATCAAGCCCAAAGCCAAAGACCACCCTTTCGCTTCTAGGTATCCGTATACCTGGCCTACTCCTGAGTCCCTCATCGCCCAACTCCGGACTGTCCCAGAGGCAAGGACCAAATTGTGAGTGCCAAAGGTCCATGGAGTCACCTGCACGCCGTCAGACACAATCACTGGCCAACGACTATTGCAATGACACTGGCACGGGGCTGCATCTGGCCCCCGAGGAGTTTGAGAACTGGTCTCTTCCCCGGCGGGATTGGAGAGACTGAGGTACTTTATCGAGTCGTGTGCCTGAAGCCCGCCTCTTTCATCAGTGCCTGATCAATTTCCCTAGGCTTGTATCCGTGGATGTAAAGATAGCGCTGGAAGCGCAAAATAGAAGCATCTCTAACCTTGTGACCATGTCCCCCCTCACTCCTGACCTCTAAGGAGGTACTTGGGGTACCTAGGGAAGGTACTCACTCACATTACTCATTTTGGGACTGGATCCCGCCATCATAATCCCAAGGACATAGGAGATGGGTATTGGAACGTAGTGTCGATGGTGTTCATGTTAAACGATTCCCTAGAGTCAGTCAGCCTATGCAGTGACATTAATACTAAGAGTTGCAAGGGCTGAGCTACCAGAGTGTGTGGTGAGAGTGACTTTGGAAGCGTCCTCCCGTCCCCCTTGGCCCTGCCCCTACACAGTAAGTACCGGTAGTTCACGGTGCAAGCCTGCGCCAGCCCAGCGGGGGGTTTGTCCCCTGCCCTATCGAGGTACTTGACATTTGCCGATGTCGCCCGCTATTCACGAAGTCACTCGGCTCAGTGCATTCTTCCAACCAACACCCCCGACGTCTGAGTTCGGTCATTGGATCCAACAAGTCACTCGCTGGGCGGGAAGGAAGTCACTGCCTGGTCCTGACTGTCTATGACTGCCAAACCAAACCATCCGACTCCCTCCCGCTACATACCTTACCTTATCCACCCATTCATCCCACCCACATCCCACACGCTCAGTTGCTCACTCAGGTCGTTCACCTTTCCCGCAACGCATTCCAATCCCACTTTCACATCCACATATCCACGCCCACCACACCCATCACCCATACCTTAGACTACCGCCCTCGCACTCATCTTTGCGGCATTCCTACACCGCAGGCAACCGAGCCAGGTCCTTATTGCCGCCTACCGCTCTGACTGATTTCGCCCGACCTCGAACCCGCCCTTTCTCGGCACGACCACATACTGCGAGCACCTTTGTATAACCTGCCCGGCTCTTCCCAGCCTTTGTACCTGTTTGTTGCCTCAGCCTTGGGCCATCGCAGCCTGCAACTTACCAATCTACCCCTCCACCCATCAAGTGACTCCCATACCGCGACCGGCGCCCAACGCAGGCATTCCCTCTCCCCTCGTTTGGATCTGATCCTCGTTCTCCATCTCCGTCATCCGTGTCTCACCCACCTATACAATTCAACCCGTTTCCGCCCCCTCGGAAACGCTTCCCTCGCCTCCATCTGCAGTCGGCACCATTCCTCCCACTACGCGGAAGAGAAAGGCCGCTGAGGCGACGATATCCTCCAATAACCAAGACACCGCGACAAAGAAGAGGATCGCCTCGGCTGCTGGACAGGACGCTCCCCCAACCCCCGTCACCACCGCGAGCAACGGCATGGATTCAGAGGAGGACTTCATGTCGGCTCCCTCGAGCGACGACGAGATCATGCAGGACGACAGCGGCGAGGACATGTCTGGTCCTGATGGTATGTATACACCGCTCAACCGAGTCTCTCCGGCCTCAAAACCACAGACTGACGTCTTTGATTCCTCCACAGATTTCGATGAAGATGACTTCGAAGACGAGCCCGAGGACCTGGGCATGATCAAAGACTCCGACAACAAAAAGAAGGTGGCCTACGACATCTCATTCAAAGTCTACGAACCAAAGGATATTCAGCGTCAACAGGATGACATGATTGACGAGGTCAACATGATCCTGAACATCCGCAAGGAGGATGTCGCGATATTGTTGCGGCACTTTAGGTGGAACAAAGAACGTTTGATCGAGGACTATATGGACGCTCCCAACAAGGTCTTGGAGGCTGCAGGTCTTGGCTCGAACGTGGCTGGCCCGCCCAAGCTTGAAGCTATTCCGGGTTTCATGTGCGACATTTGCTGCGAAGACGAGGAGGGCCTCCAGACCTTCTCTCTTAAGTGCGGCCACCGATACTGCGTAGACTGCTACCGCCAATACTTGACTCAAAAGATTCGCGAAGAAGGCGAGGCGGCTCGTATCCAGTGTCCGGCCGAGGGCTGCGGCCGCATCATCGATTCAAAGTCCTTGGATCTGCTCGTTGCAGCCGATCTCAACTCCCGATACCACGAGCTGTTAAATCGGACGTACGTGGAGGACAAGGAGATCCTGAAGTGGTGCCCTGCACCCGACTGCCCAAATGCCGTGGAATGCGCCATTAAGAAGAAGGACTTGGACAGAATCGTTCCCACAGTAGCATGCGGTTGCGGTCACCGCTTCTGCTTTGGTTGCATTTTAACTGACCATCAGCCTGCTCCCTGTGAGCTTGTCAAGCGATGGCTGAAGAAGTGCGCAGACGATTCGGAGACTGCAAATTGGATATCGGCCAATACCAAGGAGTGCCCCAAGTGCAACTCGACAATCGAGAAGAACGGCGGCTGCAACCACATGACATGCCGAAAGTGCAAGCATGAGTTCTGCTGGATGTGCATGGGCTTATGGTCGGAGCACGGCACGAGCTGGTACAACTGCAATCGTTTCGAGGAAAAGAGTGGTACAGATGCGCGTGATGCCCAGGCCAAGTCCCGCATATCGCTGGAACGCTACCTGCATTACTACAACCGATACGCCAATCACGAACAGTCTGCCAAGCTAGACAAAGACATTTACCATAAGACGGAGAAGAAGATGGTCCAGCTTCAGACAGCCTCGGGCATGTCTTGGATTGAGGTTCAATACCTGAACCAGGCCTCACAAACACTGCAAACTTGCCGGCAGACTCTTAAGTGGACCTACGCCTTCGCATTTTATTTGGCGCGCAACAACTTGACCGAGATTTTTGAAGATAACCAAAAGGACCTTGAGATGGCTGTCGAAGCCTTGTCAGAGATGTTTGAGAAGCCCGTCCAGGAGCTCTGTGACAAGAAGTTGAAAGTCGACATTATGGACAAGACTTCATACTGCAAGAAGCGAAGGATTATCTTGCTTGAAGACACTGCAGACAACCTGGCCAATGGTATGTTCGCAATATGAAGCCGATCGAATAAGAACTGACCGTAATAGGACGTTGGACATTTAATGTAGATCTTCACGGACCTTCACCAGTTGGTGCCACAAGCAGTCGTCGTCAGTAGATCGTGGATGATGCGGCCCCGGTGGAGCGCGAATTCGATGAAGACAGCGACGATGACTTCTTCTACAACGAGCCCTTGCCTGTCGACAATGTGGTGAGGCAGTGGCGGCTGCCGTGGTGAAGGAACACGATTCGCATGGTTCGTGAGGCTCGCGGATCGCTTTTTGGGCTTGGTACGGATGTACACAGAAGCGTGGACTCAGAGAGTCACGCAAAAGAATTGTGGCGTGGGTTTTGAGACGGAAACCTTGGCAGATGAAGGCATTAGACCCAGAAACGGAATCAACATGGGGAAGGATCGGCTGTTGCCTCGGGGTCATCACTTTAGTGTTCCAAGTATGGAACGAGTTGGAATTCTTTTTTTCTCCTCTCTCTTTCATAGTAAAGGAAGGCAAGGGAATGACTGCTTGCGCATCATGAGCATTGTGTATGGTATAGGTCTTCAGGTTACATGCCCAGTGTCCCAGGCACGGCGGGCTTCTTCTTTTTTTATCATTGGGCAAAACCACGTCCTTGCCAGTTTTCCATCCCGGATTCTATCTTCTGATATAGATGTGTGAAACATATGAGACGTGTGGGATTTGCAATCAGGATAACTTGCAATCTGTCTGTCTGTTTATGGCCGACGGGTACTGTTTGGTGGTTCCTTGCACGCTCGTATGGAAAGGGCTGTAACAAGGTGGGATTGGGCGCTAGGCGGCTTTCGGTCCCCGCCGAGATTGAACGTATAGCTAGATCCTTCAAAAGACGGACGACCTCACAGCGACAACCCTATAGATAAGAGATGACTGCGAAGGTAGGTTGTGATAAGTAATGACTTTAACATTGACCCATCAAGCTGTAGGCCGATCACAAGCAGTGGGACACATGTTTCATCAGAAAAAAAAAAAGGTCTTCCGGCCATCATGTTTTCCCATCATCACTACTTAAAAACTCCATGGTGTCCTAGTAATTACAATGCATACAAGAAACCCTGGCTACC